TAAAGTATGAAGAGAAAAAGTTACAAAAATCAGCAAATTTAAATAAAACTTTTGATTCCGAATTTTTTAGATAATTTTTATTTCAGTGTTTAAAATCGTATTTTATGGGGTTGTACAGAAAACAATTTCGCTTTTCTGAAAGAGTATTTAATTGTATTTTTTCGTACCCAACTTTACACCTAAGCCGTATTATCATTATATGTTTTGATAGCTGCTATAGCAAGGCTTGTGTGTGAAAAAGTAATTCTACGCAGTAGTTTTGGTTTCATTATTTAATAATTTCGTTTTGAAATCTAATTGATTTATTTAAAAAAAACTGAATCATTTCTTTTCCCCTGAAATTTAAAAAAAGAAGAAAAAGAAAAAAATTACCTCTCCAACACTTTGAAAATTATGATTTAAAGCTCATGCTTAGGTTAAAAAAAAAAATTTAAAAAAAGTCATGTTTTAAGATGTAATGGTTTAAAGTTAACAATATTATTTATATTCGAAAGCCTCATTATATTTTATATATTTACAGATTTACAAAGGTATTAAAAACATTTTGAGTAGATTGTTTTAGACATTTTAAGCATAAGGCTTATGCAAGAAATAGTTTTCTTACTTCTACACTACTGGCGATTAAAATTGCTACAACAGGAAGGAATTCAAATAACAGAATGATATTTATTGGATACGCACATTATATTTGGAAGAATGAATGATAAAATTTTCAGGATATTTAAATAAAAAAAATGATAGAATAAAATTTTATCTGCTTAAAATTGAATAATTTATTATTGATTCCCATACTTTATTTAGTTTAAATCATTTATTTCTTAATTCATTTCAAAAACATTAAAAAAAAAAAAAAAGAATTCTAATTACAGTTTTAAGACATTGTATAAAACATTCTGATAAGAAGATATAACTTTTCTGTTACTTTTAAGTTTTATCAAATACAGGTAAAATTTGATCACAGACTAATTTTTATAAAAAATTATTTATTTTGATTGCAAAATATGCAAGAAGTATTCTGAAAATGTATACTACAGTTTGCTGTTAAACAGAATTCATGGTAAGGAAACCTAACATTCAGCCAATTATAGCCACCGTCAGTAAAGTCCCTATTTCTAAGTCTCATGATATTGAATGTCTTATATCCAACTGAATTAAAAAAAAAAAATCACAAACAGATTTGATATTAAAAGCTCTGGATAAGACAGTTAAAATACTTTTCTATAAAAATTTTTAAATAAAGTTAGACAATGAGATTAATAACTAAAATGAAAATTATTGTGAACAGATCATTTAAACATTATCTGTATAAACTTACAACAAGAATAAAGTTAGTCAGTAGTATGAACAGAACACTGAGCATAAAAATCCTTAATAGAGATAAACTCTAACGCCTGTATTCACCATGGAAACTAACCCTCAGGTTTTATAAGAGCAACTCTAGGTTAGATTCTAAAATTTCATTTCACCATGTACGTAACTGCGTGTCAGTTGGACCCAGAGTTAACTAACTTTAACCTGAAGATTTCCCTGGTTTGAGTAACCACTGATGCGCAGTAGGCGAATTTTTATTTATTTATGTTTTCAAAATTAAAATTTTTGATGTTCGGTTGCTTTTTTTATGTTCAGTGAGGTCAGTTTATTACTAGATGTAACTATAATTAATTTATATCAAATAAATGCTTATTAATAAAATGGATATTAAGTTTTCATGATTTAATACCTTCCATAGAAGATATTGCAATCAGACTTATATTTAACGAACTTCTCTATTTTGCAATTTTTTTCGAGGAACCAAGAACATTTTGGAAATTTCTTCGTAAAATAACTTCCAAATAGCGAAGTGAATTTTCTATTTAAAGAACTTTTCTTTGAGATTCAACTTCCCTATTTCCCAAAATATTCTGAACATTTCAAACTTGTTAACGCATTTTATAGGGGAAATGATCTTGAATTAATTTTCAAAGCCACTGCTTTCTCCAAAAGTTTTTTTAGAGAAAACAGTACTCAGAAAGAGAAACTCAGACCAAATTAAAAGATTTAATTAGTAGCAATTAAACTTAATGGTAATGTACGATTAAAACTACTTTTACAATAAATGCAGCTATAATTTTATACATAAATTTAGCTTTTCTTTATTTGAACATGTATGTAGCAAGATAGTGTAGGTAGCATGAAAATGTAAGTAGCATGTAGTACTGCATAATGTTTTTGCTCTACTCTTGCTTTCCGCGCAGATTTCTTTTATGGTTAATATTTATAAAATAAATAGTAGATACTAGTTTACAAGATAAAGGTGTATCTATTGCTATTTTAGTAATGCCTAGTGTTTATAAATTTTAAGTCTGTTTTGTGTTGTTTAAGTATTTCAAAAGGTGATTTTCTATTTAATGAATTTTCCATACAACGAACTTATTATCGGGATTTAGCGACTTAGTTAAATAGAGGTCAGCCTGCATATATATGTCTCAAATTATTACTAGCAGTCATTTCTGCACTTAAATTATTTTTCACTCAGAAAAAAAATCCGTGGATAATACAGTTTGTGTCAATAATTCACAAGAATAATGCAAGAAATTAAGATTCTAAATAATTTAACTAGCTTTTATTTAATTTTTTAAATGAAAAAAAAAAAAAATAATCGATGCTGAAAGAAATATAAACAAGAATACAATTCATAAAATTATTATAGATCTTGCCCAAAAATATAATATAGTTAAGAGATGAACAGGCAAATAATTTGCAATATTTAGATATGAAGATAACGAATGGCATTTTAAATTTTTTTTCATCCATAAAATAAAACTATTAATAAAATTAAGAACATATACAATATTTTTAATATATATTAAAACTTATGCTAAAATAAATACAGTAGGGAACCGATTATCCGGAACGATCGTGGGACTATCGCTATTCCGGATAACTGATTTTTCCGGTTTTCTGAATCGCTACAAAAAGCCGTTTTTTTAGTGTTAAACCCAACTAAAAAAAAAATATTTGGAAATAATCTTAAAAATAAGAAAAAACGATGAGGTAATACACTAATGATTATTTCTGAAATGATGGTAAGGCAAACATCTTTCAAAAAAGAAAAAAAAATCCTAAAATCTTATGAGGAAAAAAAAATTATTTTTTTTAAATTGCGGGAAAATTTATCGAATTTCGTTCCGGTTTTTTGGTTTTCCGGTTTTCTGAATTCCGGATAACGGGTTCTGTACTGTATTATGTAATCAAAGCAAATCTTAATCTGAGCTAACATTTAAACTACACAATAATCTGCATCAAATGACTTCAATAACCATCTATAATTTTATAACCATAAAATAATCAGCTGAACATTTGGAAAAAATAGAATCATTCGGAAGAGATTAATTGCTGAATACTATATGAAATTAAAACGCCGTCTCTAATTAAAAATTTTTTAAATATATGACCTGGATTCTTTATGACCAGTGATGCCACTCTAAAAAAATGTCAAGACTTAACTTATTTTTTGACCAAATAATACTGTCTAGCGTTGTTTACCAAACTTTTAGAAATTTATAGCTAAATGACACCAAAATTTACCTTTCCGTGATAATAGCCTACATATTCAGGGGTGAATTGTGAGCCCAAGTCAAAATTCCGGAAAATTCATTGAGTAAAAAAAAAAAGAACAGTTTAATTTAAAAATTAGAAAAAAAATTTAAACAAGGTTTTTTTCCTTTTTCTCAATATTTTTTAGTTCACTTAAAAATATTTAAAATTTTACACATACCTATACCATTTACACATACCTGGAGAAGTAATTAAAATTTACAAATACCGTATATTCCGGCGCATAACGCGCTCCCGTAATTTCTAATAACTTTTTTTAAATTTTAAGATACACTCTTCGTCTAGTATCTATAGAAAACCAGAAAGCCTTTCAGTGTGGGAAATGTTTAGATCGCATCTTACAGATAATGCAAAAAAAATTGTTGAAAGAATGTAACACCGATGTGGCAGTTATTATGGGCGGATTGACACCATTAGTTCAGATATTGGAATTCTGCTTTTAAAGCCAATTTAAAAAAACAGTGGAACACTTGGATGTTGGAGGGCGAGAAAACCTTTAAGAAAGGAGGATATATGCGTCATGCAAGTTTGGAAACAGTGTGCGAGTGGATATTAAAAGCATGGGATGAAATTAAGCCCGAGATGGTTAGAAAATCATTAAAAAATGCAGCATTTCAAATAATGTGGACGGATCAGAAGATGACTGTTTATTCATGGATGAGGGTAACACAGATGATGAAGACGAAACAGATTGTGATGATGTGCCTGAAGAAATAACGGAAGACGAATATAATGAACTATTTATGTAATAACGAAAATCAATGAAGTATATAGGTATGTTATTTCTTTAAAATAAAAATATTTTTCTAAACTTAAATTTTTTTAATCTATAATTTTTTATATTCGGGGTATACCGCGCACACGTAAATTCCAATGTTATTTTTTGTATTAAAAGTGTGCGTTATACGCCGGAATATACGGTATGTCTTTCTTTCATGAGTTTATGATTATAACAACTATTTACTGATAAAAAATGAAAACTAATCATGAATATGAGCTTATAAAGTATCTCTCTGGCTCTCCCTTACAAACAAATAAAATAAACTGTGCTTTTAAGTTCCACCTTTGAAAATTTGATTGATCAATGATTTTTTGAAACGCCTGAATCTTCGATCTCCGGAAACTTCCGGATCACTGTTAGCAAAAATTCCGGAAATCCGGATTTTTTCTGGAGCGCAATCAGCCCTGCATATTAAATCAATCATTTGATTATTTTTTCTAAAAATGTTTTCCTTTATTTTATATTTTTTTTAGCAAACAAAACGAAAATAACAGCGAGCCTTGTATATATTTTTTTACAACTATAACTGAGCAACCTGAAACCATTCATATCTCTATTTTTCACTTCAGCGTTACCCTTTTTTTGTTCTAGCACTATAATTTCTTTCGTTTTTAAAAAAATATAATCTTGATTTAACTTTGTCCAGCATGACAATAGGTTAGAGCGGGGCAAGCAAACTCGAGCAGATTTAGATTCAGCAATAGTTCAAATTTAATTACACAAGTAAATGAAGTTCAATCAATCCCATTTGTCAAGACTTTAAGAATAAGATTTAGTGAAGCTGACCAAAAGATAAATAAAAGTCCTCACATTACCATATCATATATAATATCATATGTATTACAATATCATGTGTATTAATAAAGATATATTATTTTTTTATTTTTGGCCAAAAAATTTTTTAAATTTCTAAGGAAAAAAGAAAGAAAATTTAATTAAATTGCTAGAATTTATTAGTCTATTGGTTTTTCTCAAGACTGATTTCAGTCCCAAGGACTAAAGAGTGGAACCCATGTTTATGACACATCTGGGGTATAGACAACTGATATATTTCCATTTACAATTATTTAAAAAATAAAATTTTTAAATATATTATTTTTTTAAAAGTTTTGGAATATTTGTTCAAATTTTGGCATTTGCCTTCAAAAAAATTTTTAATAGTCATTTATAACTTCTTCTGAATAATAGGAATGTGTTGATTTATGCTTATCTAGATGGAGAAGTTTATTTTATACAATTTCATTTACTGTGTTTAATAAAAGAAAATTCTTCTCAATGGTTTAAGTTATCAATAATATGTTATGAAGAGAGAAAAAAAATATTAAAAATGTGGGAATAAGGATGAGAAGGATGTTAGCATAATCCCCTTGATCGTTGTTTCAAATAAAAGTATTAGATATTTGTGTGAAATAAAAATATTTTTAACTGAATCTCAGTAATATTTTTTATGTTTGCTCACAGCCTTATGATATCCATAATAATAAAATATCTAAATTCATAATAATAATACTTAGATCCTTTTGCATATCAATACAAGTCAGTTAGGGAATGGAAACTTAACATCTTTTACATTTGTCCAGTAAAAGAGTGATGATTCAAATTTAATTACTCAAATCAATCTTTTTTTTAATTCTTTCATAGAAAATTAGTTTTAAAAATAGAATCGTAAATTCTAATTGTCAATAAGGCTGAAAATCTAACCCGGAGTGCAAGTTAACAGCGAGTTAAGAAACCCCTAGTTACGAAACAGATGGCTAATAAAATAATGAAGAATGCACTTTTTGACTCGTGGTCAATATTTCCAAACCAGGGTTTCGGAACTGGGTGTTTTGTGTTAGGTAAGTGTCAACGGTGAACAGGGGGGTAAAAATTAACTACAAGAATCAGGTTTAACCCTAGTATGAATACTGCTGTGTCTCGTCAGATGACTGTTGCACGAAAAATTCTTATTACATATACAACAAGAATAAGGCTTCTCTCCGGTATGAACACGATAGTGCACAGTCAGATAACATTTTTGTGAAAAACTCTTATTACATATACTACACAGATGAGGTTTCTCACTAGTGTGATGACGACTGTGTCTAGACAGTTGACCTTTTTGTGAAAAACTCTTATTACATAAACTACAAGAATAAGGTTTCTCACCAGTGTGAACATGATTATGTACATTCAGATCACTTCGTTTTAAAAAATTCAAATTACATAAACTACAAGAATAAGGTTTCTCACCAGTGTGAACAGAACTGTGTTTAGTCAGATGACTTCTGCTTAAAAACCTCTTATTACATAAACTACAAGAATAAGGTTTCTCACCAGTGTGAACACGATGGTGTACATTCAGACTACTGCGATGTGAAAAACTCTTATTACATAAACTACAAGAATAAGGTTTCTCGCCAGTATGAACAGGACTGTGTTTAGTCAGAAGACTTCTGCATGAAAAACTCTTATTGCATAAACTACAAGAATAAGGTTTCTCACCAGTGTGAACATGAAAGTGCGCAGTCATATAGCTTTTTTGTGAAAAACTCTTATTACATATACTACAAGAATAAGGTTTCTCTCCAGTATGAACACGAAAGTGCACAGTCAATTGACTTTTTTGTGAAAAACTCTTAGTACATACACTACAAGAATAAGGTTTCTCATTAGTGTGAACACTATTGTGTGCATTCAGATGACATCGTTTAAAAAAATTCTTATTACATATACTACAAGAATAAGGTTTCTCTCCAGTATGAACACGACAGTGCACAGTCAGATGACATTTTTGTGAAAAACTCTTAGTACATATACTACAAGAATAAGGTTTCTCTTTAGTGCGAACACTATTGTGTACATTCAGATGACTTCGTTTTTTAAAATTCTTATTACATAAACTACAAGAATAAGGTTTCTCATCAGTGTGAACATGATTGTGCTCAGTCAGACTACTTTGATGTAAAAAACTCTTATTACATAAACTACAAGAAAAAGGTTTCACACCAGTGTGAACACTACTGTGTTTAATCATGTTGCTAATATATGAAAAACTCTTGTTACATATCAGTGTTTTCACTACAGCGCGAGAACGCGAGAATCTCGCATATTTTTTTCTATTCTCGCATTAAAAAATGATTATCGCGAGAAATTCGCGCATTCTATAAATCAATTTCAAAATTCGCGAATTTCTTGCATTTTGGAAAAAGCTTCGAATTACGCCATTTAGAAAAAAATCCGTTTCACTTTTCTTCCTAGATCTTTCATTATTTTCATCATCTGCCCCATTATCTAGCTTCCCTATTTACCAGTATTGTTTAGAACCTTTTCGAACAACAGAACACAACCACGGAACCCCTTTCAGAGCACATTTCTCTACAATCACATGTTCACTGTAGGTAAGGTTTCTTCATGTAAGACGTTCAAATTTTTTATGCACTTATGTAAGATGGACAAATACCTTGTAAAGGCAAAATCTTCTATGATGATGCACCAAAAATATTCAATGCTTTAAAAAATAGAAGA